CAGGAGGGAAGGGCGCAAGGCCGAGTCTCGACAGCTCCCTGAACCCAGAGGACCTTGGGTTTTCTTAATGATGTCTTGGTCAAGCCAGGCTGAGACACATTGGCTGATTATGCTGCAGATTGGGCGGAAATCTCTCAGTTGTGCTTTTTTTTTTTTTTCTTTCTCCAACACTGCCATTGCCGCAACAACCCTCCCACAATCCATCACACGGCTGCTCTCCTTTTCTCGTCCATTCTCCTCTGCCTCCTCTTTTCCATCTTTCTCCTCTCCACTCTACATCCATCCTCCTCCTCCTCCTCTGTGTCTCTGTCGTTTATCTCCCAACTCTCCCACTTCCGCCAAACTCCACCCATTTGGAGCAGTGGCAACACGCTGAGAGACTTTGGTCAAATCTGATGATGCTCCCTCGCATCGGTGGCATTTAATCAATTGAAATCTTATTTGGGGATGAGCAGAGAGGAAGTTGTTTTTTTCATGAGCAACTCTATAATAGAATAACACAGCCTGAAGGCCAGGTCCCTCATCATCTGGGACTCCATAGATTGAGGTGATCGAGTTGTTTGAAGATGAATTTTGAATACTGCCTATGCCGCCTGGCAGGATGCGCTTCTCTGTAACTCACTTGAAATTTAGTAATAACATTTAAAACGTCAATTATGAATGGAAATTAGATTGAAAAAAGCTAATATAGCTCAGAAGCTGAAGAATTTGCATAAAGCATGTTTGGAGAAGTACAAGAGTTGGTCTTACTTATTAGGAGAAACAGCAGGACCCTTGTTTGCTCCATGCATTATTTATTCATCATCACCCTCAGAGCAAGGTTTCTCTTCAAGTTTAGAGAACATTCAAAACTAACATGTCCTCCAAATGAAATGACAAGAATTCTTAACTAAGGTACAACCAAGAGGGCACAAAACAAAAATATTAACCCTCTAAAAGATTCACTGACAGAGGTTTAAAGTTTTCATGCATTAACACTTATGATTAGATTTTTTTATAATATGACAGGAAGAGTTTATTCTCTTATTGCGGGGTTGTGTGAGGTACCTGTCAATAGTAAGAGCATTATCCACTTGGGATACCGCTCAGCTCAGCTCCTTTGGTAAAAAAACTGGACAGAGAACTGACAGCAGCGAGAATATCGATGGCTTACTGGGGTAACTCAACGCTGTAATTCTGCTAATGTGTAAGTCCTGCCCAAAAGCACATTTCACACTATTCCTAAAGTGACTGATGTGTTCCTCTACCTGCAGGGCATCCATAAAAAAAAACAGATCTAAGATGTAGAAGTCCCAGCACACTGATATATTGTGAAATTTGATATTTTTGAATCCAATTCTGACATATTTTTAAGAAACAAACGTTGAACATCAACAGCTTTGGGGTTTGTTATGTCTTTCCCTTCAACAGCATACACAGTGGATTTAAAGGATAAATGTATTACGGGGACCATGGGTTGTGTCATCATGCAATAAATGACAGTAAGAGCTGAGCAACTTACTTTGAATACACTTTTCTATTCAGCTTATCTGGTTTCATAATTCAGTTTCTGAAAATGTAATAAAGTCTGTAATGTTCAGTAGGAATTTGGAGTTCAGTGACTGCAGCCATATGTGAGCCACTGGTATCCTCTGATTCAGGAAGTTCCTGATGCTGTTGTGACCAAGTCCTGCTCATGACAGCAAGATGCTCTCTCTTTTTGTTGGCATGGGTTCATGGTGCCCTTGGAAGACTGCGGACTAAAACAGCTGATCAGTGTGCTGGAGGCAGAGGAAAATGTGTGTTGAGCCAAGAGTAGAGCGACAAGTAATAAGCTGCCTGGCCACAAAGTAAAACCCAGAGAAATTTCTAAATACATCAAAAATTTGTGCCTTTTCAAAACTCTGAATACACTTTTGAAAGTTTTTTTTTTTTTCTCATATCAGTGAGACTTTTTCAAGATAAGAGGAAATATGTTTTTTTTTTTTTTTTAAGGTATCAACTTCTATTTTTTTGTTAGCGGTATCAAAAACTGTTTTTGCTTTTGAGATGTTTTGCAGTCAAAAGGAGCAATAATTGCCACACTTTGAAATCTGAAAATCTAATTCCAGATGAGGGTCAAACAAACTGTGGAGATTGGTGGCGAAAAGCAGAGAGTGGGCAAAAACACCAGCGAAATTTCAGTAGTGGCATGCACAAGGCCAAATATCAGAAACTCACTTTTGTCAGAGTAAAGCAGGAGGATAAAATGCAGTGCTCAGACTTTTAGGCCGGTTATTCAGAGTGATAAAGTTTCAATTTTGTGCATTCTGGATTTGTGTTCAGATTTCTATTTTTTTTAACTATTATTATTATTATTATTATTATTATTATTATTTAATTTAACTTTTATTAAACCAGGAGAAAACCGCGTTAAGATTAATAATATCTTTTTCAAGAGTCCTGGCCATGACAGCAGCAGTGAGCAGAGTTTCAAACGTACATAAAAACAGTCATACTCATAAAACATAATACAATATATGTAGTCCATAACCTACAAATATACATTTAAGCAGCAGCTATTTATCTGAATCATCCAGAATTAAGAACAAATCAAAGCATTTGCATTCAGATGTGCCTGCCTTTAAGTCTTTCAGTCTTCTCTTAGCTGCCCTTTTATCAATTCTGATCCTCTTGTTTTTGCAGAGTAACTAGTTCTAATATTAGCGCTGTTAACAGGGATTCGTCTTTTTCCTGCATTTATAGGACAAACATTATACAACATTATCTTTCTTATAACAATAGATCAATGAGAAGTTTTATAAACAAAACTGTCCAAAGGTGTTTGGAACTTGAGAATGCTCAGTGTTACTCCTACCAGAGCTTTTCTGGTTGTTGTGTTTGGAAAAAGCCAAATCGGAAAGTTTACCGAAGACCAGGGCTATTTCTCGTAATCCATTTTGTGACGGTCAAAAGTAACCAATGTCAAACCCTAACCTTCACAGTGGAATGAAAGTTTCATTCATTTGCAGCAAGAACCACTCTCTTTGGCACACCATTTGCAACATTTTAAGGTAATAGTCCGCATCTCCTTATTTAATGTCAGTGACATTTTCACGGAAATAAAGATCTGTCTGTAGCCAAAAGCTCTCATCGAGAGCACAGTTATTGATTCAAGTCACACACAGCTCATCAAAGCACTGACATTTGCTCTTTCTATACGCAGGAAAGCGTCCTTTGCCAGACAACGAGTAAACAGTGGAATGACATTTTAGTTTTTGACATGCAAACTTTGAGCATTTCTTGGAGAGTAGTACATTTTTTTATTCAAGACAAAGGGAAATTATCATAAAATATACTGTCTGTTTTTTTATACTGTAAATGTGTCCCAATTCGAGGGATTGGGACACATATCTAATATCACAGTAAGAGTTCATAGTGAGGAACAAGCAAGCAAGAAGAACCCAAGAGTTGGATATTTTTCACTCTGGTGTAAAAGGACAGAACAGTCTGGAGCTGTAAGGCTGCAGGATATGAGCTCTGCATCAGATCTGCCATCTGACAGAAGACACAGCCTGTGCCTGTTAGAGCCTCGACAACAGATGGGCAGATGAATGGTGGTCAGGTGTCATACACACACATGCACGTGCACAGACACACACAAGCACACATGCAGACATAAATGCAGACCTCCTTACACGCACAGACTCACACAGATAATCATCAAGTCTTTGCAGGTAACAATTTTGACACACAGGTGCACAAACACAGATGTAGATCTTTCACCCAAACTGAAACCAGACATTTTTGCTCTAATGCTTAATCACAGTTAATGTACAGCCCCTCAATGAAAGCAGAGCTGATTTACACGTGAAATATTAAATGAATGTCACTTACAGTCTTCTTTCAAGGGATTTCTCACAGGGAATAAATCCTGCTCAGACAGGATGCATGTTGGCTGCTTAATGGCTACAGCGTGTGATAGCTTCAGCTTGTGCCATCATGGCATTCACACAAGCTGTGTGTTAGCTGCATGTTGGCTGCCATACACTTTTTTAGTTGGTACAACTCATCTAGATGCTGGTCATGATTTACGGTAGCTCACCACCTCCTTGCTCTTCTCCGTAAAGATAATCTTATAAAGCTATGAAATCTTAATGATAGATAGTGAACTGGCCTTATTTTAAGTTAAACTTGTGAGAGTGGCAAGGTTGACAGCAACATCTCGTGCAGCTAACTCACAGGCTGTGTGAATCCCATGATGGCATGAGATGGAGCTGCCATGCCCTTTAACCATCACACAGCCTACATACCACCCATATAAAGTCACAGTAAGGGTTAAACGCTCCTCTTGGGTCATAGTTTTTGTTCTGATCAGCAAGTTTCTGTGCAGCTGTGTAGATCTTTATAGTGCCCCCTTTTTTTTTTCTTTCACCATGGGTAGTTTGCAATGCTGTTAGCTGCTGAGCTGAGCTGACTATACAGTAACTTTGATTGCTTCAGCTACTTGTGTGACTCACTGGCTGCCATGAACTAAGGGTTCTGTCAATCAAACCAACACAATTGAAAGTTCATTCAAAAGACACTATACCACTGTTTTCTTTATAGGCATGATAATGAGCCAACGAGGGAGAGAAGCTATTAAACTGTGTTGCTGCCTGCCTGCCTTTGTCACCAATGTAAACCGAAGTAATACCTCTTGTGCAGTGAAGAGGTGGCTAGCTTCTTGGAGAACTAGATTCTGATTGAAATACCTCAGCTAGATAAAAACCTGCATCTGTGCTCTACACTGATTATAACAGTTGCGAAAGAAAATCAGATGCTGTCCACCTTTGGATGCAAAAAAGTATCAAAATTGGATTTTAAACATCAAATGTTGAGGTGAATCTGATAAATAATGAAAAGCAGAGAAAGTAGGGACCTTATGAAGTATTCTTGGATCTCTACAATTACACTTACTGTTACTTTTCATTTTTTCTGTATTTCTATAGTATTATACCGTTACATATTGAACAGCTGCAACCCCCTCCTTATCATCACAGTCATCCCCATCAGAACTCACCATCTGCCTGGAGGAAATAAAGGCATGGATGGGACACAACTTCCTCCAACTCAACAGTTCAAAGACCGAAGCCATCCTGGTTGGAACCCCTCACCAGATCCAGTCATCAACCATAACCAGCATCACCTTCTCTGGCTCCCATATCCCTCTCTCTTCAGCAGTCACCAATCTTGGTGTTATAATGGTACCACATCTCACCTATGAATCCCACATCAACCACATCTGCAAGACCTCCTTCTATCACCTCCGCAATATCTCAAAAATCCACTGCTCATCGGGATCCCTAGCAAGAGTCTGCAGAGACTCTAATACATTAAAAACTCTGCCGCTAGGATCCTGATGAGAGTGCGTAAAGATGATCATATCATCCCATCCTCCAATCACTCCACTGGCTTCCTGTTTCCACCAGGAATGAGTGCAAGGTTTTCCTCCTCACACACCAATGCATCCATGGACATGCCCCCACCTCCTGTACCTCAAAGAACTTCTACACCCACAACAAACACCACAGTCCCTCCACTCCACTTACTCACACCCCCTCTTCAGCCCCAGAACCAAATTAAGGATCATGGGAGATAGGGCCTTCTGTGCTGCTGCTCCACGCCCCTGGAACACCCTCCCCGACATCCTGAGGTCACCACAACACACAAACAGTTTTAAAAAAGGACTCAAAACTTTCCTTCTTAACAGAACTTTTGGTCCCTCCTCATAGATTCTTATCTTGCTTTTACTCTTTTAATAAGATGTTTCTCTTGTTTTTTAACCAATAACCTGTTTTTACATTCCTTTACTGTGAAATTTCATTGCTTTTAAGTTGTAGCCATTTGAGGTCACTTGATGTAAAGGGCACTACAGATAAAATGTATTATTATTATTTATTACTATAGTATATGCTAGCGTCCTTGATTACATGGTTTAATTTTCATGTGCCAAGTGAAGTCTCACTCTACATGCAGAGAAACAGTTAGCCATTACTATGGGAAAAAGCAAGATGTAAAATGAGCAGAAAGTACCGAGCAACTATACCTGCTATTGTGAACAGTTATTTTTTTCACTTTTGTACTGTGGAAACATACAAAGAGTTGTTCATTATCAGGTATAGAAACACCTACAACCCCGTATAGTAGAACTGTGTTCCTAGATAATGATCTTGGTTTCAACAGTGAGCATAAGACGTGCTGAATTGGCTTTCTTGAGTGAATATTCTGTTGTCATCACAATTTCCCTATCCATCATATTCCACCCCCCTTGGGGCACAGGATAGAAACCTTCGTCCCCTGCATGTTAGGTGTAAGCTAGAATTTGTGGCATTGCCCTTGACCAAGGTTCAAACCTCTGAAAAGAATAAGTCCCCAGGCTCTGCTACACTAAGCCTAAATTGTCAAGATGGGTCAAAAGCAGAGGACAAACTTCCTCATGGGGATATAAAAACAAAAAGAATAACTTAGCAGACCTGACTTGCAATTGTGCACATAAACCTAGCATGCCCTTTATGAGCTACAAACACACACACATTTTTACACATGCAATGATGCAACTTTGACTGATGGTGGTGATGATGACATGGCATTTGGCAGGTCACGAACACAGATGGTGGACACACAGCGATTTTACTCACAGCAGCATGTTAGATTTGGGAACCTGACATTCATGCTGCTTCCTCAGGAAAAGCAGGTTCAGGGGGAAAAAGGAGAGGAGGGAGATAAAGGCCCAGCCCTGCAGATTAACACAACAGATGTTCTTACCTCCTCTATTACTGGCAGCCAAACATAAGATGACTTCAGAGGAAAGTTGGTTTAGGTTTGGACTTGACTGACAGCAGTGTGATGACCACAGCTGGTCCGTCACTGTGAGTAAGATGGAGACTAGATGGAGATAAGAGTCCTTTGAATTCGGTGTCTCAACTTAGCAGTACTAACTCCCAGCAGGGATTTCTCAGACTGGCAGGGAGCCACCTGATAAACACCCAAGCAATACACTGTTCACACACTGGCTCTATCATTAAATGCATCAACATTAGATAAGTAAATATGTGCATGACATTAGCCCTGAAAGAACTGTGCCCTCATTTCATTGACATAATGCCACAGAGGGAGTGTTTATCGTGCGGGCGCTTTCTCCAGACGCAGTACAGTCAACAAAGAGAATAGGCAAGGCTAGGATTGGAATAGCAATGACCTTTGTCGTATTGATTTTGGCTGAGGATGCTCCAGGACAGGCTCGGGCATGGTGCGCTCCTTTTGTATGTGCTGATATGTGTTGCTTGGCCTTTTCTCAAAATACAAACACTCCCTCAGCAGTAACCATATTACCTCTATGAGAGTGTACACCAACAGGTAACAAGAGCTGCTCAAGGGAAGACTTTCTCCTCTATACCTGCTGACAGTTGTGTACCAACATATATACAGTATATCCAGTATATTACTTGGTTATTTGTAACAGTTGTGTGGGGAAAAAGGAAAGGTACCGGGTTGCAGCCAAAACTTACTCGGAAACTAATGTCCAATTGAAGCTAACATCGAAACCCACTAACAAAAACAATGGAGATAATCCAAATGTAATGAGGATGGTGAAATCAACATCCAGAATGAAGACGAGGATAGAGGTTAAAAGAAAAAAACAAACTGATACTAAAGGAGGAGGAAAACCCTAAAACTCAAAGCATGATGAGAAATCAAACACAGGTGGGACAAAAAAGTCACAGGACACACTGGGGTAAGAACATACAGAATAAAAATTGGAACCACTTCCATTTACATGCGTCTTAAAAATTAAGCTGTTACATTTTTTCTACCTCTGTCCCATAACGCTTTGTATTCTCAGAGACTCTATCCAAATATCTATCATCCATCCTACCAGAGGAGCATCCTCTATAAATAAATCCATCCCTCAGCCAATTCATCCATCCAGCCAGTCATCCCACGATCTATCCATCGAAAATAGCATCAGAATTAACTTGTAAAAGAATCCATCATTTCAAATATGTGTTTATCCATTTATTCAAGAATTCATCTACAGATGTACCCATGTGTCATTTCACTCAACCGCTCATTCACCAACCCTTCAAGATTCCAAACATCCATTCTCCTGATCGTAAATTTACCCATTACACCCAACAAAAACCATCCAATCCTTAGCCAAGCAATCTATTTTCAAAGTATTAGAGCTGATTACCATGAAAACCAGACTGTCCTGGGGTTGGAAGACACTGGGCTCTATTGGTGGCAGGGTGGCACAGCCCGCGTAGTGGCTGGCCCAGCCGTTTTGGTAATTTCACAGACTGAGGTGCACCAAGATGCGCCAAGCTGGACATGGCGGCACAGCAGGAAGAGGTGTCGACAGAATCAGCCGGCGCACTGACCTTTTCGTGCCTGCCGGCAACACAGAAAGTGCACTGAAAGTGCGGCAAGACTGACCGGGTGATTTATTTTAAAGATCGAATGAGTGATTGATTTCGAAAGGTGTGAACAAGACAATAAACAACACTTTCATTTAAAATGACCCGTTTATCTAATGTTTTCACATCCTTAAATTCTGTTATGAAAAAACTAAGTTACAGAGCGTGACGCGTCTCTTACATACAGGTGCTTTGGATTTTGCCATTACGTGTGGCATTTGTTTCTGTTGTGATCCCACCTTTGTCATGTGGTGTTTTAATATATGCATCTTGATGTGAGTGTCTTTTTTTGTGGAAATAGATGTTTGTCTTAACAGTGGGCCCAACCTCACACACACCAAAATCCCTCTATGCTTATTTGAGAGAGTGTGGAGGAGTATTAACCAGCGTGCTGTTTATATACAGCTGGGTAGTTCTGTCTTGACCCATCTGTTGTCACCATCCTGCTCGCTGTTGCTATGGTGGTTGAGCTATCCATCCATTCCAGTATCTATCTTTCCATAGACCAACCTGGAGTATTCAGCTATCCAAGCATTTTAGTGTTTATGAATCAATCTATATTTCAATCTACAATCCCAGCTACAGTTAATTAATTCAATAGTACATTCATGTATTTATTTAATCATCCATTCATCCTTCCCTTACCTGGATATCCATCCATCCAGGGTTTCACAGAAGTCTCCTTTATTTGGGTTATCTGTCTTTAAAGTATCCACCTATGTATCAGTCCATCCACCAGTCAACCATCTGTAAGATCTACCCATCCTCTGAGCTCCCTATCTGCCGGTCTATCTATCACACCAGAGGCTGTTCAATGCAACAAGATACACAAGCCATAATGGCAATTTAAGGAAAATGAAAGAGCCCCACGAGACAACTAAGAGACATTTCAGTACAAATTAAGAGTCAATAAAGCCCATTACACGGCTACTTCCCTGTTCTGTGATTATGCTGTTAGTTTTCATGGTCAGCGATGGTGCTAAAGAGGATATAACCATTTAAAGCTCAGACATACAGTTGTACAACCGTGATTCAACATCCAAATGACCCAAACAGAGGAGCTGTAAAAACAAGGAGGCTAGAAATTAGGCTGTGTTTAGATGGCAGAGTCTAATGTTCGAGTTGGTGTCCTCTGAAATAAATTTATGGTAAGAAAGCAAGAAAGAGGTGGGGGGAAGAACTAAAGGGGGTTTAATGGGCTTCTCAGATGACTAACTAAAGGTCCCGGGCGCTCTGCTGCTAATTAGCTTGATTCACCAGCCATGCTTAAAGCGTTGTGGTTTGTTGTTTTGCTATTATTATGTCTTATCTTGGGTTAGCGTCCAATCTTTGATGCTCTGCTTAGTGTACCATCTAAGGCCCTATGGAAAGGAACATGGGGGAGGGGGCCCACCCTTAAGTCACAAGGACACACTACATTTTTTTCTTTTCCTCTACCATGTAAAAAAGATTCAAGGAGCCAGAGTAGCTGGAAATTAACTCTACTGTACGAAAAAAATAAAAAGTTAACTCAGATAAAAGGAGTAAACACAGCACAGAGACTGCCAGCAGACACTTTAAGAGGAGCTGGATGTAGCAGAATAATTTCTGAAGAAAGGACACTTTCGAAGCAGAGACACATCGTACCGAAGACAAAAATGAGCAAAAAAAGGAAGGGTAGAGGATGTGGGTCGAGGGGTTTAGGGAGAAGAAAAGATTAAAACCATTATTTACCCTAAAAGCTGGAAACTTTGAAGTTCTGCAATGTGAGCAAATTCAATAAAATTCATCACCTTTGTCTATAAGCA